TCATCGACAAAATGAGCTGATGTCCATGGGTCCAGAAGCCTGAAAAGGGCCCAAGAGAATCCCCTTCCAAGGACCAGCAAAGCTACCCCTCGCAACACCGTGAAGCGTCCGCCTCAGCCGTGCATCCCATGTTATTTTTCCAACCCTTCAATGCTGCATATCTTATCGTTTCACGGCGAGGTTGACATTCATGATTAAAGATGTAAGAGAATAATTACATCAGTGCTGTACTGCTTCAACTGTTTCTGTGTTCCAAGTACCAAGTCAGTGCTCAGTATAAGAATTCACCCAAGTATACACGCAGTTTGCGCAAAAAAGGCTTACAGTTACAGGGAGCCAGCGTGACACGGTGACCAAGAAAAAAATTCATGGATGCAGTAGGTACTCAGGAGACTCCTCAAGGGAGGCGGGAGGGCCCTTATGGGCAGGAGCTCGATGTATGAGAGAAGGCGATGGGCTTTGGCAAATTTGGCTCTTTCAAGAACAATAGCGAGCAACATACGCTGCCGCTGCAGAACACAGTCTTGCAACTCAGTGTAGGCTTTTTTGGCTGCAATGACAGCTCCAGCACAATGCGAATTTGCAGCATGCTTGGCAGCAAGCGCAGCGCAGCGATAGAGAGCGTTGCTCTTGGAACCTTCGAGCATATCGGGGCCCTAGAAGTACGGGTCGCGCCAAGCCATTGTTCAGGCCCAAACCCGAACTGAGCAAGTCCAGCCTCAACCTTGAACAGCATAAGTTGTGGTGCTTGGCAGGACATTGACGTCAGTGAGGCGACGAAGGATGAGGATGAACATGCAGATCCACCAGTCGAAGTTGCCGTAGACCATGGCCATGATGGACATGGTGTTGACGAGCCTTATCGGTACTTAACGGGTTTAAGGGCAGATCCACGAGCAGCACCACAGCATATCATCGACAATATGAGCTGATGTCCATGGGTCCAGAAGCCTGAAGGGGGCCCAAGAGAATCCCCTTCCAAGGACCAGCAAAGCTACTTCTCGCAACACCGTGAAGCGTCCGCCTCAGCCGTGCATCCCATGTTATTTTTCCAACCCTTCAATGCTACATATCTTATCGTTTCACGGCGAGGTTGACATCCATGATTAAAGATGCAAGAGAATAATTACATCAGTGCTGTACTGTTTCAACTGTTTCTGTGTTCCAAGTACCAAGTCAGTGCTCAGTATAAGAATTCACCCAAGTATACACGCAGTTTGCGCAAAAAAGGCTTACAGTTACAGGGAGCCAGCGTGACATGGTGACCAAGAAAACTTCATGGATGCAGTAGGTATGGGCAGGAACTCGGTGTATGTGAGAAGGCGATGGGCTTTGGCAAATTTGGCCCTTTCAAGAACAGTAGCGAGCAACATACGCTGCCACTGCCCAAGGCGGAGCCTGGTGCTGCAAAGACTAAACAGACTGGAGAAGTGGCACAGGACAGAAAGCGTGTAACAGATGTTTGCTGACCTATCACCTCTACAAGTTTTGAGACACTTGGAGTTCGTCCTAGCTCACTGCCACATGTTTGACACACGTTTCAGGCATCACATGTTTGTTAAATTCGGTTGGGCATTGCTCGTCCTGGAAGGCGGAGAAGAAGTTGCAGGATGCAATGGCATCCGGGGATCTTGCGGATCTGAAGGCAGCCATTGCTGCGGCCAAGGAAGTGGGTGTCTCGATCGAGCTTCGGGAGAGAGCGCTCGAAGCCCAGGCGAAATATTTAGAAGCCAAGGCTGACATTCCCGGATTCATTCCGAGCCCAAGCTATGGCAGTCTGATTGATACGTCTCGCCCAACGCCAATCGGCGTCCAAATATGCCAAGCCTGCGAGAAGATCTACGGCTTCTTACAGGAGCCTGAAAAGTCCAATGGAGATGACGTGTTGGAAGACTTGTGCCGCACGGCCAAGCTGGAAGGAGCATCACCGGGTCTGAAGAGCAGCATCTTTGGCCTCATGCGACCCGAGGATATCAAGAACTTCTTGCAAGCGCCTGATCACCAGTTCTGGCAGCAGATCAAACACAACACAGAGCAGTTCATCGAGCTGCTGAAGGCTCCAGGAGCTGCCGTGCCCTATTCAGTCGACGAGATGACACCAGAGGCAAAGAACGCAAAGGTGCGAAGGATTCGGCCAGTTGTGATGGATCAGTCCGTCAGGGAACCAGCCACCAGTACGCCATTCGGCCACACAGGGTATCAAAAATTCCTGACCCTGCAAATTGTCAAGGGCATGGGCTTCAAGGACATAGCCATCAGTGGCCAGTACTATGGTGCTTCCTACACACCGGAAACACAAGTGCTCGAATGGATGAAGGTCAAAGGAGAACCGATGGATGGCATGATCGTTATGTTCGCACCAGGCAAGGGTGATCGAGAGGCTGGAATCAAGGCTATCAAGGACTTCGGCATCCCCAATGCCTTCCTCGACCTGACCATGAAAGCAAGTGTGCGTTTCAAGCAGTCTGACTTCGTATCCTCAGTGCTGGAGACTGTTGAAATCTTGGATGAGATCTTCACTCGTATGGGCTTCGAGCCAAACCCTTGGCGCAGTGAGGAGAAGATCAACTCCGAGCCAGGTAAAGGCGAGATCAGTGTGAACCTGGTTGACCTGATGGAGTTTCTCGACCTGAAGCCTGACGGTACCATGGATGACAAGAAAAAGTCAGAGGCAGAGGACGCTTTCCGTACCTGGAAGAAGTCAGATGCCTTCAGGCGTCGAGTTGTGGGGATTCTCACAGAAGAAGGGCGAGGAGTGGCCAACTACAAGGACTATGGTGTCTTGTCCAGGTGGCTGCGGGGACACTTCCCACGAGATGAGGAATATCGAATCTTAGTCCATGCCCATGGTGGTGATGGA